AAATCTTTGCTTCGTTTTGTGGGCAATTCTATTCTGAAACTTTTTTAACTCTAGCAATTTTTCGAAAAACCCCATCATTTTCATCAAAAACTCGAATAACTCAAAATGCGCGCTCTCTAGGTGTGTTATTCAAAATCATCGAAAATTCAAAAGTTGGCTATGAAAATAAACGTCAAACTTGACAATGAGGAAAGTGAGTTGTTCAATTAAGTAATTATTGTTGTTTGAGTGTTTTTAAAATGAACGGGAAGATTTCTTTTAACGAGCAAGTTGACATGCTGTTAGTGCTATGCCTATAACTCCTTAGGGAAGTAACTTGGTATAGAGGTAAGTTGCGTTAAATTGCCATATTTTGAGACCCCCTACATGCCCCTGCCCTATGTCGATTGTTATGTGAATCACCCTGTATATAAATACTCAGCATCCACTGGTTTCATTATTATGAATAATTAATTGGAATCAATATCAGATTGATGTGTTATCATATTATACAACGGTCAGTGATACTTTCATAGTCTAAAAGAGGCTTATCCTTCCTGTAAAAATGTTTTGTACATAAATTTAGTTGAGGCCGATGTATGTACATTTTAATTCCAATGAATGTTATTCTTGGTCCAAGATATGTCCATCACCTGGATCGAAATTGACATCCATTTCATGTCCAATTTTGTGACAAATCGGACGTCCAATGGATATTCTTAAATCTATTTTTGACATCCTTCGGACATCCATTGACTGTACGTGTGTTATATTTATTTATTCATTCATTTATTCATTTTGAAAGCAAGGTTATCCAACAGAGGAACTATAAATAACTTCCACCCGAATTATAAAACAACATTAACGTCGGTATATACAATATCAACATATATGACTATACAGGGTGATTAACTTGCTTAACTGATTTGTGGTTAGTAATATGTGTGTTATGATTGTGATTGAACATATGTTCGGCAATACAAGATTAATCTAACATGCCATATTCCAAATGTGTTCTTTGAACCTTGCTTTTATGGGTCGCCTGGTTTGGCCAATATATGTTTCATCACAATCATTACAACTTATTTCGTATATTCCCGACTTTTCAAGTGTGTCCACTTCATCTTTCGGATTGCCTAATAAATTGCCTAATTTTGACCCAGACTGATAAACGCTTTCAAAACGTAAGTCCCTGAAAACCTTAACACTTCGAAATTCTACGACCTCTCGAGTGGATAAAAAGAACTCTAGAAGAATCACAATCCCGTTCCCCGTTTCCGATAAGGTTTTCAAAGACTTAGGTTTTGAAAGCGTTTATCAGTCTGGGTCAGAATTAGGCGATTTTTTAGGCAATCCCAAAGATGGAGTGGACACACTTGAAAAGTCGGGAATAAACGAAATAAGTTGTAATTATTGTGATAAAACATATATTGGCCAAACCAGGCGACCCATGAAAACAAGGTTCAAAGAACACATAGGCCATTTGAAATATTGCAGATTAAATAAATCTTAGCGAAACACTTGTCGAGGCGTTTAGAAAATCGGTTTGGTTTCTGGTAAAACAGTGTAGTACATTGTAGCCATGACCAATAAACAGTCCAACTAATTAGATTAGATGCATCATATCAGAAACTATTTATTCGCAAATGAACCTCGAGACATCGAAAATCAACACGATACAAAAAAATATTTCTGAAGGGAATATCTTTCTGGAAAAAAAAGTTTCCAGTCCGACCTCTGAAAAGTTGTCACCAAATTTTTACGGCAGCATGGTTGTTAGAAACACTTGCAGGTCACTGATGATGATCGAACCCAGATAGCACACAATCGCCAAGGGTCATCCTCAATGTGTCGCCAAAACGCCTAGAGAGGACGTGATGTTTTCTACAACCTAAGAACATCATCAGGCGTAGATTTAGCGCCGTAATTGTCCTAGAAAAGTTCTTCCAGTGACAGCCTGAGGCTGCAGCGGATTTCGTGAAGAAGAAGAAGAACTAGAAATACTAGAAGTGAGGTTATATCCCATGATGCCATGATAATATTTCTCTAAGAAATTGATAAGAAATACAGGTAATTGATCAATCAAATCATTTATAGTAGGTACTGGACATGATATATTATATATTATTTTATTTCAGGAGGTTATTGAGAACACAAACTTGATGATATCAACAAAGCAGAGATGTTTCATTCCAAGATATTTTGGCTTCTTCGGAATTCATCAAACACTGTATTGAAGGCTTGAACTTTCAGTGGATTCAATAAAGATAGGTACCTACCTGAATCAACTCATTGATAATAGGTACTGGACATGAAATATTGATACATAATTATTTGTTCCAGGAGGTTATTGATGAGAACACAAACTTGATCATTATATCTATCATCAGATCAGAGATATTTGATATTCCAACATATTTTGGTTTCTTCGGAATCTATAAAAGATTGTATGCAGGCTTGAACTTCACAAATGATAACAAGAAGAGAACTCACAACAGAATTAGAACAAAACAAAAATCATCATAATGTATTATTATTTTGATGATGAGTTTTCTCTGAGGAAGAAAGGAACAAAGGTATAGGTGGATCAAATCATACATGGATATGAGATATTGAATCATTGTTTATTGTTTCAGAAGGTTATGGAAAACACAAACTTGATGTCATCTATAAAATATTGTATGAATAAGGCTTCAACTTTCAGTAGATTCAGCATTAGGAAGCAAATATCCAGAGTTCAGAAATCAAAAACAACATAGAGAAATATTACCAATAGGCAATAACTTCTAGTACCTAGTGCTCAACAAGGAGCTGAGATACATTTTTTCAAAAAGAAACTCGAAAATCTCCACCAATAAGTTATAAATGATAAAATGTAAGTTTTTTATTTGAACATATTATTATTTCAGGGAAATTTCGCAAATATCATGATATCCATATTTTTTCAATAAAATTTCATTTTTATCAACCTATCCCTAGACATTTTTGAATTCATCCTGAATATGTTCCCATAACGTCCTATACCTGTCCCAGAAGACCTCATATAGGGGTGTTCTAAGACGTTATTAGGATGAAGAGAACGGTAACAGGAGGACGGGCAAGGGACGTCGTCAGGCTCGCCCTGGACGTCCTGAGGACATTATTGTGTACGCCTCAGAAGGGCCTCAAAAGGTATTTGTGCTATCTGGGAAAGCATATATCAAAACGTGACTCACAGTCACAGAACATGCCATGCCAAAAATTATACTCCTACTCGTCTTATGAGCAAAATTATTTTTTGTCAAAAAAACTTCAATGCCTTGTACCAATTCGTTTTCATCCCAGGAGTCCACAGCCGAGTCATGTCCCAATCTTTTAAAGACATTCTGTATATGCACTGGTATTTTTAAAATTCAGTCCTCTATACAGGGTGTTAACAAATAAGTGCCACAATGGAAAACTCTAGATTCCTCATGGAAGAAGAAAATTTTGTTTTCCTTTTCGAAATGTTTCTCTGGGCTTTCCTTTTTCAAGATACAGGGTGTCGAAAAAATACAAAAAAATCTGTTTTTTGCTACTATCTCAGGATCCGTTTGAGCTACGGAGTTAAGTCTTCGTACAGGGTGGCCAACTAAGACTCCAGAGTTCGATTTCTCTGTTGTCTTGAGAGATACAAAAAAAATAATCATGAATCAAAATTGAAGTAGTAACCGAGCTTCACATTTCAAAATTTCTTTGAAATACACAGGGTGTTCCGTAAGGTCACAGCACATCAAAGCTATGTTTTTTTCATTGGAACACCCTATATTTCATTTCATTTTTGAATTCTTCCTGAAGATCTGATTTCAACGACGTATCATACCTAGGGTCTAGCAGTGAAAGTTACTGACATATAGGGTGTGCAAAATCGAGATTTTCCAAGTTCAGGATTTTTTTCTGCCGAAACTGTTCATTATTCGTCAAAACGGTTTACATATCCCTATCTCAACTTTTCACTCACTATCAATTGGTGTTCAATTGAAATTGATACAAGGTGGTCAAAAAATCTAATTTATAATTTGTTTCAATTAAATGTCAATTGAACACCAATTGATAGTGAGTGAAAAGTTGAGATAGGAACATGTGAACCGTTTTGACGAATAATGAACAGTTTCGACAGAAAAAAATCCTGAACTTGGAAAATCTCGATTTTGCACACCCTATATGTCAGTAACTTTCACTGCTAGACCCTAAGTATGATACGTCGTTGAAATCAGATCTTCAGGGAGAATTCAAAAATGAAATAAAATATAGGGTGTTCCAATGAAAAAAACATAGCTTTGATGTGCTGTGACCTTACGGAACACCCTGTGTATTTCAAAGAAATTTTGAAATGTGAAGCTCGGTTATCACTTTAATTTGAATGCAAAACTTTTTTTTGTATCTCTCAAGACAACAGAGGTATCAAACTCTGGATTCTTAGTTGGCCACCCTGTACACACTTCATCATCAATAATGACTACTTTTGGGGCTCTTGATCAATTTCCTTAGACATGTTAGTGGAAGAGAATTCAACGCCTCGTAAGGGTTCAACTTCCCAAACATTTATGCCACTGGAAAAATTGTAATTTTCATAGTAGATTCTGAAGCGCCAATATCTTTCACACAAAAAACGTCCTCTTATCTCAATGCTCCGAAGTGAACATTTTCCGCGGAAAATGGTATCTCCAGAAATCGTCTAAAAATCTATTGGAAATAAGCACCTCAGAACTGTCTAATAATATGTTCAATCAAATGTCAGAGTCTTGAGTATGCTGGTCTCGATGCTCGTTTTCAAATTGTTAAGTTAATTAAGTGTTGTAAAGTGTGTTTAATTAAACTGAACATTTTTAATTTTGTGACGCCCTGTATCTTGATAACGGAAGCCTGGAAAAAATGTTGACGAGGAAAGAAATGTTTCATTCATTATGAGGAATCTACAGTGTTCCGTTGTGACATTTATTTGTTAACACCCTATATATTATTCTGAGATGCCATTTTGACGTATGAATATGACGTCTTGTGATGGTGACATTTTGGCGTTTTTTATAACGAATCTACCCCTGATCAGTTGGTTAAATTCACTCGTGAAACATTTCAGTTTTGATCATTCACATTTTGCTTTCTTGCGCCCAGACAGAGTAGACTTGTCTGCACTAATTCGCTGGATTTTTCAAGGATTTTCCGAGAGGAACCGACTGCACAGTGCTCCCAAGAGAATCGTTTTTGAAATGAATTCCATCATTCGCTGTATTTTTGCTGTTCTTCTGGCTGTCAATGTTGGTGAGTTTAGATAACTTTCAGATTGTGGAATCAATTTTGATCATTTGGACATTTGCCATAAAAACCAAAAAATTGTTGGTCAAAAATGCGCAAAATTCAAAAATATGCATTCAATGTTCAGCTTATGGTATAGGTTGGCGATGTGAAAATAGAAACTGATTTTTTTTTTCGAAGAATAAATACACAAATAACCAGGCCAATGCTGCGAAATAACTTTTTTCTGCAACCGACACAAAAGTCGTCCATTTTGATACCAAAATTAGCTCTCAAATTGACGTTTCTATTACTGACACAAAAATAGGTATGTTGCTAGGCAACATATTCAGTTCCTAGGAGCTAAAGTTCAACTTTAGCTCCTAGGAACTAAAAAGGATCTACTGGACGTCATCAAGAATAAACAATATTGTTACGGTTGGTTATTTGGCTTGAGACGCATACCTGACTAGTTTCCGATGTTTCGTTTTGCTAAAATCAGTTATGAAAAAACTGTTGCCATGGCAACAATCGTCATGGTAACGAGTGAACAAAATCCCGATTCCCGTGGTGGGGAAATGCGTGGTTTCCAAGTTGTATCGGAGAAATATTGCTTTATTCATCAATTTCGAAAACACTCTTCAATGTAACTATCCTTCGCGTGCCAAGATATTCGACAAAATCAAAAAGAAACAGAGCCATTTTGGAATATTCATTACGAGGTATCGCGCAGGATATGGGAAAAGAGACACAATAAGTACTGGTTGCCTAATACAGATGGAAACATCTCGTTAGGCCCAAATTCCGAACTACCCACATTTCCATTTGCATTCATTCTGATTCACCCATACTTTTCTTCACGCGCACATTTTGATTCAGCCACAGTCTTCAAACACACACGAACGATTTTCTTGCTGTCAAATCTGATCGATGTTGAGAAAAATATTTCTTCTAAGGATAAGGTCCATTTAGGCCGAGTTAGGCTACATTGTTCAGAAAAAGAAGTGTCCTTTTTTATGCACGAGGGATCTACTTTCTTCTTAGGAAGAAGGTTCATTTAGGTCGAGTGAGGTTAGATGGTTCAAGAAAAGGAGTGTTTTTGCAGGAGGGATATTTCCTTCGTCCCTGAAAAAAGTACCAACTGCCTTCTAAGAAAGGAGGTTCATTTAGGTCGAGTTAGGCTAGATGGTTGAAAAAAAGTAGTGTTTATGCAGGAGGGATATTTTCCTTCCTGCTTGAAAAAAATTATTTTCGATTGTAAATGATTTGTTTTGGCTGAGTTTGATGGTGTTGTTTTGAAGGATAGTGATTTTATGTCAGATTAGGTCAAGTTAGCGAAATCAAATAACCCATGAATATGTAACGATTATTCCGTTCCATTGAGATGTTTTCAATTAATCAATCATTTAATTATCTGACGTCCATTCGTTCTTCTATCTACTTCCGCTTATCAGCCCTTCACCGGTTCAATAACCATATCGAATTTATCAAGTCTTGCGCGCTCGTCCTTCCCGCTAGACAGCGTCACAGAAGATCGAAGAAGGGAGACTGAATAACCAATCAGGAGAAGGGATTGATAGGACAGGATCTTTCGCGAAGAACGAATAGGAAAATCAAAGTCCTTCTGATTTAAACTACCCACTTGAAAGGTTGAAGTGATAGGTTGTGTGAATTGAAGATATCTGGTAGGTCTGGATCTATCTTTATTTTTCGAGTGAAATAACTTGTCATCGCAGACATTTGGTTTGTTAGATTTGATTATTACCTATGGAATTAAATATTAATTGATACCTATATTTTTGATCGAATTTCATTTTTGTGAGAAATAATTGCATTCGAGTTAATTGAGGTTACAATTCATATCTGATGGTTTCTTAGTTAATAATTGGTCATCGGTATCAATTTATTGGATATTTGGGTTCTTTCTATATTTTATTAGCACTTATTGATGATATTTTCGTAAAATTGACAAATTTATATGTGATATACAATTTTTTTTTCAGCTTAATGGTTAAGTAAAACCTGGATTTATCCGCCTTGTTGCTCGAATTTGCCTTTTATTAACGTGTTGCTATCAACAGCTTTTTTGCTAATTTTTCCTCAATCAATAAGTTGGAAACAGCATCTACTCTCTCAAAAATTTTTCTAGGTACCTATTGGAAATTCAAACGTCATCGTAGTTTCCTCAGATTTTCATCCAGGAAACCTGAACTGAAGTTTTCTCTGTGTCTCGTCCAGGAACCTTGAGCCTACAGGACCTAGAGCCTTGAAGTTGAACCTTGACGTCCAGGCTGTACCTTTCCCGGATTCTTTCTCAGGTGAGCATTTAATTTCTATTATCAACTTGTGAATTTCTTTTCCAAGTTATTTTTCATTCTCTCTGAGAAATAAATGCAACCTGAGGAAGGTTTCCTTCTCTCTATAGCCTGTTCAGTCAAAATTTGTCTGGTTCCTGTATAGGTTTTGCCTTCTTGTGACGAAAGCACAATCTATAGTTCAAGTTTTCTGGAAGTGAGATTTTCTCTATATCTTACTGTCGGTATCTTCTTGGTCAACTCAACAAACCACATGTCAATGCATGTCTATTTCCTTATCTCCAGATATACCAGATCTTAATTCCAGACCTGTCAACTTCACACCTGAAGTACTTACCTATTTTCTGGCATTTGACTTTTGAACCAGGACTTGCCACCCTGTATATATATCTTTATACATACCTTTTTCTTTTACTTTCACGGACAAGTAAATTACCTGTTAACTTCAAACTTGAAAGAGTACCTATTATCAGGCATTTTACTTTTGAACAGGACTTGCCACCCTGTATTTTTTTCATTGAATTTCAGTATCGACAATTTATCAAAGTTAAATTTGGTTTTTTCATTAGATACATGATAATTTTTCCTTGATTTTTTTTTTCTGTAATAATATATCAATACCAGGATATCTCATTATATATATTATTCAAATCATCTTTCTCTGCGTTAATGATTTGATTTTCAGTTATTTCTGGTTTCAACTATTTGAGTCAATTTTCTCTAGTTTTTTTAAAAAGACTGAATTTTCAAGTGTCAAGTTTTTTTCTTAGAATTGAATATATACATATTTTCCTAATTTTTCTAAGTTCCTAAAATTTCACATTTCAATTTGTTACTTTCCAAAGTATTATAATTCAGAACATAAAACTCAGTGAGCGGTTCAAAGGATATCCTTTCGTCCCTTTAATCACATTGTCGACAACTTTCTGATTCCTCGTATATTTCCGCATGCACTCTACGTCTATACCTGCATCGAGGATCCTGGTTAACCAAAGAGGGTTGTAAAGGACGGTAACACCTGGAGATTCCCTACTGAGCAGTCAGAACTGAAGGAGAGGCTATACCCTACTACTTCCATCACCAGAAGTACCCACCACAGTACTTGGTAACTCTGGAAGCAGAACTGAGAGCTGGAAGCTGAACTGACTCTGAAGGTTGAACTCCCATTTACCTTAAGGAAACCCTCTTGGACAATTCATCTGGCCAACCAGGTATAATCCACCCAAGTGCCAAGACCTTCGATTGGAATCAGATCGGATCAATAGCTCTATGTAAAGTTGAATGTTCTGAATCTATTTGCTCCATTTCTCTTGTTTTTTTCTCGTATTTTCACATAATCCTCAATCTTATTTTTTGGCCTTCAGCCACTTCACTTCCACATAATCTTCAATATTATTTTTGGGCCTTCAGCCACCTCACTTTCACTTTTACATAATTCTCAACATTATTTTAGGGCCTTCAGCCACTTCTCCCAAATTATTGTTATCCTAAATTCTTCTGGCCTTCAGCCCATTGTAATTTTATAAAGGAAATAAATTGTTGAATTGAATCTCTGTATATTTGTTTTGTCTTCTCATCCAAGCAAGGTTTTTAGGAAGTATCTGATTGGCTTTTGTCTTTTGCAAGCCTGGCGCCCAAATATATCGAACAGTCAAATCAATCACCTTAAAATCAACTTTAGAATTCATATTACTCGATTACCATCTTAACAGTAAAATTGTAACTTTTGAACTCACACCCTACCGTATCAATCTGAGCAGCCCAAAGGCATAAGTATAAACTTTCATATTTTTTGTTTCAAAATTTTTCAAATTCTGAACTCAGAGTGTGGAGTGTTACACAAATGGTCGCTCACAACGTGGGGCCCGATTTGACTGTTTTTTCTTATCTCATCCTTGCTTGACGAAAGACCAAATAAATTATAGTTTGGAATTTTTCGATAACAAATTTTGACATATCTGCGTATCTGATTCTGAAGAACTTGGTATTTCAACTTATCTTAATTATCTATTTTTCATTATCTATTTGACTTTGATAATTGTTTCCTTTTATCTCTTTTCTCACTGCACTATAAGATATAATTCTGAAGCATCCCAAAAGTACAAGCCTTTTGATTATTCATATCTTTTATTAGTTGTGGTTGAATTTCATCTTCCAAGTCCAACATGGATCCAAATCATTTGAAAATAAATGAATTGACTTATGAGCTCAAGCTTCGTAGTGTAGAACCTACTGGAAACATTGATTCAAAACGTAAAATTTTGAGAGGACTTTTGAGTCAACAAAATGCTAATCGTAGTTTTCATGGTACCTTCGAGAATCCCTATACACATACTGAAGATGTGACTGAAATGAAAGAAAGTATTGAAGATTTAAAATTAGCTATAGCTTCATTCAGTGGTTCTAAGTTAGATCCTGCCTTCAGAAGAATTTCTAGTCGATTAGCTCATTTGTCAACTCGTTTTAATTATCTTAAAGCTGATGATGAGGATGAAGAAACAGCCAGGAAAGAAATTCAATATCTTGTGTTGGAATTGGAAGCTAATTTTGATTTGAAAGTATCTCCTCCTCCCAGTACTTCTACCCCTACACTCCCTAATAATAACTGCAATATCTTTTCTTCAAATAAATCAGTTGCTCCATACAAATGGAATATCTTTTTTACTGGCTCAAATCAGAAAGAATCAGTTAACTCTTTCTTAGAAAAAGTTG